AGATAATGAAGGTTCTTGAAAAAGTTCCAAATAGCTAGAATATATAAACAGCAGTATTCAGAACAGTAAAATAGCACTGCATATATTTGCATGTTTCAGTTGAAGTATTCGCAGTATATATAAAAATAGAACAGCAAATGAATAATACAGATCTCAGATAATATGAATATTTAGCTATTTTACAACCTACTGGACATCAGAAAGTATTGTTGGTAGACTGTTTTATCTGATGGGGCAAATTAAACATAATTATCTTTATAGGCCTAGCAACTTTCTTAAAAAATTATTTATTTTAGTTTTCAACATTCATTTCCATAAGATTTTAAGTTCCAACTTTTCTCCCCATCCCTCCCCTCCCCCATCCAAAGACGGCATGCAATTTTATATAGATTCTACATATATAATCATAATAAAACTATTTTCACATTAGTCATGTTGTAAAGAAGGATTAGAACCAATGGCAGGGACAAGAAGAAGGAAGAAATGAAAGAGAAAGAAAGAGGAAATAATATGCTTTGATTTACATTCATACTTGATAGTTCTTTTCCTGGATTCTTTTTCTGCACTTTCTATCATGAGTCTTCTGGAGCTGTCTTAGATCTTTGCATTGTGAAGAAGAGATAAGTCCATCAAAGTTAGTCATCATACCATGTAGCTGTTACTGCATACTATGTTCTCTTGTTTCTGCTCACTTCACTCAGCATCAGTTCATATAAGTCTTTCCAGGCTTTTTTGAAGTTCCTGTGCTCATCATTTCTTGTAGCACTATAGTAGTACTGTATTACATTAATATGTCAAAACTTGTTCAGCCATTCTTCAACTGATAGGAATCTTCTCAACTTCCAATTCTTGGCCCACACAAAAAGAGCTTCTATGAATATTTTTGTAAGGGGTCAAGATGGCAGAGTAAAAGCAGTGACTTGCTTGAGCTCTCCCCCAAACCCCTACAAATACCTATAAAAATGGCTCTAAACAAATTCTAAAATTTGTTTACAAAAAGACAGAGTGAAACAAATTTCCAGTCCAAGACAACCTGAATGGTTGATTGGAAAGATATATCGTGCCGGACAGGGAGAGTAGTGGAGTTTGGCATGGGTGTGCAGGCAGCACAGGCCTCAGCGAACCTGGAGCAGGCCTCAGAGGACTGAATTGGTGGCATCTGTGGCAGTTTCCAGACTTCTCATCCCATGAACACCAAAGACAACTTAGAAGGTCAGTGGGAAAAGTCTGTGTCTGCAGTTAGAGAGAGAAGCACTGAGTAAGCCCCAGTTCCCCAAGTTTGGCCCTGGGGCAGCAGCAGCTTACAGTGCTTCCAGCCCACAGACTGAAGGGGAATTGAGTGGCTGATCATAGGGGGATTTCAGGGATCTCTGTGCTGGTGCAAGACTCTCTTGCTTTGCCCATTCTTTGATCTGGGTCACAGTTCTAGGTGGTGGTCCTGGGACAAGGAAGAGTACTGGCATGGTGGAGCTTGTAGTGGTTGTGGAGAGAGAATACTCCTCACAGTTCCAAGACAGAAAAGAGTGCTTATGATCGGTCGCTCATAGAGGAGAGGACAGGCCAGGAAAGGAGTAAACACCTCACCCTTGATCATAGCACTGTGAAAGAATTGAAAATTTACAGGTCCCTAGAAGTATCTCTGAAAACAGCTGCACAAAACCCCTGAATCTTGGGACAGTACATTCTCCACATTGGAAGCAGAACCCTACATTAACAAAGAGTTTATAACTCAAGTAATTGGCTGAGATTATGAGCAAGGAGAGCAAAAAAGTCAGTTATAGAATCTTTGGTGACAATATCAAAACATACAACCAGAAGAAGACGACAAAGCCAAAGCTCCTACAACCAAAGCCTCCAAGAAAAATATGAATTGGTCCCAGGCCATGGAAGAGCTCAAAATGGATTTTGAGAAGCAAGTAAGAGAAGTAGAGGAAAAACTGAGAGTGATGCAAGAAAATCATGAAAAACAAGTCAACAGCTTGCTAAAGGAGACCTAAAAAAATACTGAAGAAAATAGCACCTTAAAAATAGCCTAACCCAAATGGCAAAAGAGGTCCAAAAAACCAATGAGAAGAATGTCCTAGAAAGCAAAATTGGCCAAATGGAAAAGGAAGTCCAAAAGCTTACTGAAGAAAATACTTCTTTAATAATTAGAATGGAGCAATTGGAAGCTAGTGACTTTATGAGAAATCCAGACACTGTAAAACAAATCCAAAAGAATGAAAAGATAGAAAACAATGTGAAATATCTCATTGGAAAAATACCTGATCTGGAAAATAGATTCAGGACAGAGAATTTAAAAATTATTGAACTATCTGAAAGCTATGATCAAAATAAGAGACTAGACATCATCTTTCAAGAAATTATCAAGGAAAACTGTCCTGATATTTTAGAACCAGAAGGTAAAATAGAAATTGAAAGAATCCGCTGATCACCTCCTGAAAGACAAATCCAAAGGAAAACTCCTAGGAATATTGTAGCCAAATTCCAGAGTTCCCAGGTCAAGGAGAATATATTACAAGCAGCCAGAAAGAAACAATTCAAGGATTGTGGAAACACAATCAGGATAACACAAGATTTAGCAGCTTCTACCCTAAGGGACCAGAGGGCATGGAATATAATATTACAGAGGGCAAAGGAGATAAGATTACAACCAAGAATCATCTACTCAGCAAAACTGAGTATAATCCTTTAGGGGGGAAAATGGTCATTCAGTGAAATAGAGGACTTTCAAGCATTCTTGATGAAAAGACCAGAGCTGAATAGACAATTTGACTTTCAAATACAAAACTCAAGTGAAACATGAAGAGGTAAACAGGAAAGAGAAATCATAAGAGACTTTTAAAGGTTGAACTGTTCACATTTCTCCATGGAAAGATGATATTTGTAACTCATGAGATCTTTGTCAGTATTACGGTAATTAGAGGGTAAAAATTATATGTATGTATAGACAGACAGATAGATAGATAGACAGACAGACAGACAGAGACAGACAGAGATAGATAGATAGATAGATAGATAGATAGATAGATAGATAGATAGATAGATAGATAGATAGATAGATGGCATAGGGTGAGTTGAAGATGAAGGGGTGATATCTGCAGAATAAAATTGAGGGGTGAGAAAGGATTATACTGGGAGGAGAAAGGGAGATGTAGATTGGGGTAAATTATCTCACATGAAACAGACAAGAAATGGCTTTTATAGTGGAGTGGAAACGGGTGAAGGTGAGAGGGAATTAGTGAACCTTATTCTCATAGGATTTGCCTTAAGGAGAGAATAACATACACACTCAATTGGGTATGGAAATCTATCTTACAGACAGGAAAATGCGGGGGGAAGGGACAAGAGAGCTGGGGGATGACAGAGGGGAAGGCAGATTGGGAGATGATGGTAATCAGAAGCAAAGCCTTCTGAGGAGGGACAGGATCAAAAGAGAGAATAGAGTAAATGGGGGACAGGTTAGGATGAAGGGAAGTATAGTTAATTTTTCACAACATGACTAATATAGAAATGCTTGCATGACTACACATGTATAATCTGCATCAAGTTGTTGCCTTTCAATGAGGTGTGGGGGTGGGAAGGGAGGAAAGGAGAAAATTTGGAACCTAATTTTTTTAGAAACACATGTTTAAAAAAATTTGTTTTCACATGCAACTGGGAAATAAGAAATACAGGAAATGGGGTATAGAAATCTATCCTTCCTCACAGGAAAATAGAAAGGAAAGGGAATAAGAACAGGTGGGGGTGAGATAGAAGGGAGTACAGATTAGGGGAAGGGGTATACAGAATGCATGCCATCTTGGGGTGGGGGAAGGGATGAGATGGGGAGAAAATTTGGAACTCAAAATCTTGTGGAAGTGAATGTTGAAAACTAAAAATAAATTAAAAAACTGAAAAAAATAAAAATTAAACAATTAAAAATTAAAAAAAAGAAAAAAAGAAATATTTTTGTACATGTGAGTCCTTTTCCCATTTTTGTGATCTCTTTGGGATGCAGACCTAGAATCCGTATTGGTGGGTCAAAGGGTATGCCCTTTTATAGCCTTTTGGGCATAGTTCCAAATTGCTCTCCAGAATGGTTGGATCATTTCACAACTCCATCAACAATGCATTAGTGTTCCAATTTTCCCACATCTTCTCCAGCATTTATCATTTTCCTGTTTTGTCAGGTTAGCTAATCTTATAGGTGTGATGTGGTATCTCAGAGTTGTTTTGTTTTGCAATTCTCTAATCAATAGTGATTTAGAGCATTTTTTCACATGACTATAGATTGCTTTAATTTCTTCATCTGAGAACTGCCTGTTCATATCCTTTGACTATTTATCAGTTGGGGAATGACTTGTATTTTTAAAAATTTGACCAATTTCTCTATATATTTTAGAGACTCATCAGAGACACTGGTTGTAATTTTTTTTATTTTAAACAAGAAGTTTATTTAAACAATAAGATGTTTGACTTGAAAGGAAAACTATCTAGGATCAATTTCATTTTAGTAATTTATCCCTACTGAAAGACAAGAGATTGCCCAACATATACCAGCTATGTATAAAAAAGTTATAAAATCATCTTTGGTTTTACAATGATAAAAGAAAAACATTGAAATTATCCAATTGAATAAGGTATGCAAGGATTTCTTTGTGGGTTTTGTTGCTGTTGTTAAACAAGGAGAGTAAAATAACTTACTGGAATATAAAGATAAAAGTTGAATCAGCATGCCACTAATGGACAAAAAGGATATTTTCACAGAATCTGTTTTCCCCTCCTCATCTCCACTTGATGTTGATCAAAACATAGCATTGACCATTTAGTTAAAAAAAATATGCTTTATGCCTGTTCACATACACCAGTTACTTTATGTACAATAAAGGAATGGGGGAAGGAAATCAAAGAAGAGAGAAAACTATATTGCAATAGTCAGGATAATCTTGGTTTTCTAATTGTGAATGTATTGTTTTACTGGGAAGCACAGTTCTGGAGTAGAGTTTCATGTTCTCTTTTTAGTAAGCCCCTCCTGTCTGCTGTTGGAATACATCAATTGTATCTTTATCCTCCATTTCCAACTGTGCAGGTGTGTCTGTTTCATTGATTGGTTGCCCATCAAATCAGAATCTGATTTGTCTCATTGACAAACTCTGTCGTTCACAATAGGCTTTCATTAGTTTACTAAGTGGTGTGTGCCTCTTAATCTTGAATTGCACCACCAAACCATCTTGCCCATTAACATGGGCATTGTTTTCAGTCTTGACTCCTTCCTTCGGTTTTTCATTGGCCATGGCGAGTCCAGGGGTCTCCTCAGCCACCGTTTCACAAGAGGCACCAGGATGCTATGCTCCAAGGGAACAGGTGGAGAAGCAGTAGTGTCAGGAGCAGCAGCAGGAGCAGGAGGAGGAGGAGAGAGATGATGGTGGTGATGGTGAGGAAGAAGGGAAGAGGAAGAGGGGGAGGAGAAGCAGTTGTAAAAATTATTTCCGAGCTTTCTGCTTCCCTTGTAATACTGGTTGCATTGACTTTGTGCAATTTTTAAAAATTTAATGTAATTGAAATTATCCATTTTGAATTTCATAATGTTCTCTTTTGTTGGTTTGGTCACAAATTCTTCTGTTCTCCATAAATATTACAGGTAAACTATTCCTTGTTCTCCTAATTTGCTTAAAAACTTCACCCTTTATGTCTAAATGATGTACCCTTATTTTTCCTAGCTCTACAAAATATTGTTGGTACTTTGATTTGAATAGAATGAAAAAGTAAATTACTTTAGGTAGAATTGTCATTTTTATTATATTAGCTTGGCCTACACATGAGCAACTGATGTTTTTCCAATTATTTAGATCTGACCTTATTTGTGTGAAAAGTGTTTTATAACTGTGTTCATATAGATCCTGGGTTTGTTTCAGTAGGTAGATTCCCAAATATTTAAAATTTCTATAGTAATTCTCTTTCTATCTCTTGCTATTGGGCTTTGTTAGTAATGCATAGAAATGCTGATGATTTATGTGGGTTTATTTTATATCCTATAACTTTACTGAAGTTGTTTATTATTTCAAGTAGTTTTTGACTTGATTCTCTAGGATTCTATAAGTGTATCATCATATTGTCTTCAAAGAGTGATAACTTTGTTTCTTCTTTGCCTATTCTAATTCTTTCAATTTCTTTTTTTTTCTCTTCTTGCTAAAGCTAATATTTCTGATACAATATTGAATAACAGTGGTGATAAGACATCTTTGTTTCACCCCCTGTCTTATTGGAAATGTTTCTAGCTTATCCCTATAACACATAATGGGTGCTGAAGGTTTTAGGTAGATACTAGTTTTCATTTTAAGGAAAACTCCATTTATTTCTTTACCCTCTGGTGTTTTTAATAGGAATGGGTCCTGTATTTTATCAAAAGCTATTTCTGCAATTATTGAGATAATTATGTGTTCTCTGTTAGTTTTGCTGTTGATATGGTCAATTATGCTGAGAGTTTTCCTAATATTGAACCAGTCTTGCATTCCTGGTATTAAATCCTACCTTGTCACAGTGTATTTATTATCTTTGAGATAAGTTGCTGTAGTCTTTTTGCTAATATTTTATTTAAATTTTTGCATCTAGTTCATCAGGGAAATTGGTCTACAATTTTCTTTCTCTGTTATTACTGTTCCTGATTTAGGTATCTGCACCATATTTATATCATAGAAAGAATTTGGTAGGACTCCCTTACCTATTTTCCCAAATGTGTTATATAATATTGGAATTATTTTTTCTTTAAAAATTTGATAGAATTGTAAATTTATCTGGTCCTGGAGATTTTTTCTTAAGGAGTTCATTGATGGCTTGTTCAATTTCTTTTTTCTCAAATGGGGTGATTTAAGTATTTTATTTCCTCTTCTGTTAATCTGGGAAATTTATATTTTTGTAAACATTCACCCATTTCACTAAGATTTTTAAATATATTGGCATATAGTTGGGCAAAATAGCTCCTAATTATTTTTTGAATTTCCTCTTCATTAATGGTGAATACACCCTTTTCATTTTTGATACTGGTAATTTGGTTTTCTTCTTTTTTTAATCAAATTAACCAAAGGTTTATCTATTCTATTGTTTTTTCATACATCACCTCTTAGTTTCATTTATTAGTTCAATAGTTTTCTTAATTTCAATTTTATTAATATCTGGTTTTCAGAATTTACAATTTGGTATTTATATTGGGGATTTTTCTTTTTTTCTAGCTTTTTAGTTGTATGCCCAATTCATTGATCTCCTCTTTCTCTATTTTATTCATGTAAGCATTGAGAGATATAAAACTTCCCCTAAGACCCACTTTCCTGCATCCCATAATTTTTGTTTTTTTGTCTCATTATTGTCATTCTCTTTGATGAAGTTAATGATTGTTTCCATGATTTGCTGTTTGATCCATTCATTCTTTAGGATTAGATTATTTAGTTTCCAATTAGTTTTTAATCTATTTTTCCATGGTCCTTTATTACATGCAATTTTGATTGTATCATGATTTGAAAAAAAGATGCATTTAATATTTCTGCCTTTCTGCATCGGATTGTGAGATTTTTATGCTCTAATATGTGGCCAATTTTTGCATATGTGCCATGTACCACTGAGAAAAAGGAATATTCCTTTCTATTTCTGTTCCATTTTTTTCAGAGGTCTACCATTTCTAACTTGTCAAAAATTCTGTTCTCCTTAACTTCTTCCTTGTTTATTTCATCCTTAGATTTAATATAGTTTGGGGGGGGGGTCAATTTTCCCCACTAGTATAGTTTTGCTATTTCTTCCTGTAACTCCCTTAACTTCTCTAAGAATTTGGATGCTACACTATTTAGTGTATATTTGTTTAGTAATGATATTACTTCATTTTCTATGGTGCCTTTTAATAGGATATAGTATCCTTCTTTATCTCTTTTAATTAGATCTATTTTTGCTTTTGCTTTGTCTGGGATCAGGATTTCTACCCCTGGTTTTTTTTTTGTTTGTTTGTTTGTTTGTTTTGTTTTTTTACTTCAGCTGAAGCATAATAGATTCTACTCCAGTCTTTTACCATTTCTCTGTGTGTATCCCTCTGGTTCAAATGTATTTCCCGTAAACAAAATATTGTAGAATTATGGTTTTTAATGCATTCTGCTATCCATTTCCATTTTATGGGAGAGTTCATCCATTCACATTCACATTTATGATTACCATCTGTCTTTCTCTCTGTTATATTCACCCCCTTCCACCATTAATGCTTTTCTCTCTCCTTTTTCCCTTTCTCTCCTCAATAGAGTTTTATTTTTGACCCCCACCTCCCTCAATCTGCCTTCCCTTTTAATCAGATCCCTCTCCGTTCTTTCCCCTTTCCCTTCCTACTGCCTATAGGACTTCTGTACCTAACTGAGAATGTTGTTCCCTCTTTGAGACAAATCCAATGAGAGTAAGGTTCAAACAGTGCTTATCTCTCTGTCTTTTTTCCCTCTACTGTGATAGGTCTTTATGCCTCTTTGTGTGATGTAATTTGCCCTTTTCTGCCTCCTCCTTTCCTCTTCTCCCATTACAATCCCTTTTCACTACTTAATTGGATTTTTTTGTCACCACATCAAAGTCAACTTATTCCCACTCCCTCTGTTAATGTATATCCTTTCTGAATGTTATAATAAAGATTCAGTTCTCAAAAGTTACAAGTATCATCTCCCTTATAGAGACGTAAACAATTTGCTTTTATTGAATAATATGTTTTTTTCTTTCCTCTTAACCTTTTTATGCTTCTCTTGAGTCTTGTGTTTGAAAATAAAATTTTCCATTAATAAGGAAGGTTTGGAAGTCCCCTATTTCATTGAATGTTCATCTCCTCCCTGGAATGATTACGTTCAGTTTCACTGGGTAGTTGATCCTTGTTTTTAATCCAAGCTCCTTTGCCTTATAGAATATCATATTCCAAGACCTCCATTTTTTTAATGTAGAAGCTGCAAAGTCCTGCATAATCCTTACTGTAGTTCCACAATATTCAAATTGTTTCTTTCTGGCTACTTGCAGTATTTTCTCCTTGACCTGGTAATTCTGGAATTTGGTTTCAATATTCCTTGTTGTTTTCATTTTGGGATCTCTTTTAGGAAGTGATTGGTAGATTCTTTCAATGACTATTTTATTTTCTGGTTCTGGGATCTCAGGGCAGTTTTCCTTGATGATTTCTTGAAAGATGCTGTGCAGGCTCTTTTTGTTGTTTTTTTTTTGTTTGTTTGTTTGTTTTTGTTTTGCTTTTGTTTTTGATCATGGCTATCAGGTAAATCAATAATTCTTAAACTACTTCTCCTAGACATGTTTTCCAGATCAGTTGTTTTTCCAATGAGCTATTTTATATTGTCTTCTATTTTTTCATTCTTTTGATTTTGTTTGACTAATTCTTGATGTCTCATAGTCATTAGCTTCCACTTGCCTAATTCTAATTTTTTAATGAATTGTTTCCTCAGTTAGCTTTTTCAACTCCTTTTCCATTTGGCAATTCTATTTTTTAAGGAGTTATTTTCTTCAGTGTACTTTTTTCCCCAGGGAGGGTGCTGGTCTGGCCACTGGAAGTAGCCTCCTCACCCAGGGCTGTGCTAGAGTATGGGTAGTTTCAGCTGTGAGTGGCATCTGCCACTTCCCCTGGCTGTGCCAAGGAATGCAATTGATGTGTGTGTGGGGGGGGCAAGGGGTTCCATGATGTTGGCACTTGCCTGCTCCACCACCCTGGGGCTCAGAATCACCTGTGGGTTTGCTGAGGTTGGGTTTGCTGGGACTCCTGTCCTGTACTGGTCCCCTTCAACTGCACCAAGAAGGACCTTTCCCGTTAATCTCCCAGGACTCCCAAGCTAAAAACTGCTGCACCCCATCTTTCTGCTGGCTCTACTATTCCAGGATTTTTTCCTGGGATGGTATTTTCTGGCTTTTTCAAGGTCAATAAGGGAGACTGAGAGTGACTTACTGCTTACTCTGTCATCTTGGCTCCTGGAACTCTGATTGTAAGCTGCCCTTCTAAGCAGCTTTGTGCACAGTGGCCCCCAAGCCTGCCAATCTCCCACAGCTACACCAGCCCTTTGAGCCCTAGCAACTTTTGTAAAAGAACTTCTGCTTTCACTTATTCATGCATTTTTAGCAATTACATCATCTATTTATTTACTGTTTTATAAGATTTTGCTATGCATTGTCATCTGTTGAGAATTTTGAGTCTGTTGACATAAAATTGAAAGGTCACAAGGCTAGTGAAGTTAAAATGTATTGTATTGATCACAGTTTTCATCCTCAAACACAGTATGTTTGCACATTT